CCGGGGACTTTCTAGATTATTAGGAAAGGCAGAAGTTTGTTACTTTAGCATTTTTATTTTCTTTTCCACCCTTGCTTTTTACTTTGGTGTTTTTTTGTTTCTGTTGGTGCAGATCTGAATCATGGATCCGCATGGCTTCTCCAACCAGTGGGGGTATCCACCACCACCCGAGTGGTATTACCCCGAGACTTCCTGGAGCAATCAAGGAGGAGAAGACTATGGAATCGGGTTCCAATACCAACCCCCTTATTACGGAGAACAATCAGACCCATGGGCATATCAAGAACAAACTTATTACCAAGAAGACTTTCTCCCACAACCAGAAGGGCCATCGGAGCTGGAGTTAGACATGGAGGCCTTCACGGGCCACTCTGCAGAGCCATGCTACACTTCACTGCAAGATCCGAACAAACAATTAAGGCATCTCGTGGAGAAGTTTGCTCGAGACACTGAGAGATCATGCTCCAAGATGGATCTTCAAATCAAAGCCCTTGCCCCTTCCGATCCCTCATTTCTCCATGAAATGGAGGAGACTGTTCAGTGCTCAGTGAAGCAAACAGAGTGGGTGGAGCAAGTTTGCTCACATCTTGCTCAAGATCACCTTTCTGCTACCACGCTAGAAGAGGTGGAGGATGACAAAGGCTATGGGGATGTTGAGGAGCATACAGAAGTTATCACAGAGAAATCCCATGATAATCATGATCAGGAAAATCCTCTGGTTGCAGATCACACCTTTCCTCATTTCTGCTCTAACATGCTGGGCCCGAGTGAGGAGATGCAAGATGATCTCATTGAATAAATTACATGGCGACTTGCTCTCCAATCTGTGCTAGAAGAAGAAGAGCAAGAAAGGGTGCGGAAAGAAGTTGTGAAGGATGACGAAAGTTAAGCAGAAGGAGTTCTTGATCATTTCCCAGGGGTGATACCACATGAAGAAGAAAGGGAGGTTGAAGAAGCAATTGGCGTCCAGGCTGAGGACGGAGTTAATGTGGAAGAGGCCTGCACCGACCAAGAGTTACATGAGATATCCCCACCAAACTTCGAGGAATTGCTTAACAAGGACCATTTGCAGTGTCTCTTTGCCAGACCAAGGCCACGTCGACATCGGTCCCTCTTGGTGGACGCGATGGTAGTCAATCGATGTTGTCATATCTGGTTTGGGGTAATGAGACGAGAGAAGAGAAGAAGAGTTCTCGAGGGTGGAGACTTCATCTACATCAAGTGCACGAGCTTCCATCACCTGTCATACCCCATGCTCGTGACTTGAGACTCCACCTCATCGACGAGAACCTCAACTTCAAGGAGGTTTTAGGGTGGACCGAAACTTAGGAACCATCGTCCGGCTCACGACGTGAAAGAAGCGCTTGTTGGGAGGTAACCCAACCAGTTGGTTTGCATTTCTTTCTCTATTTCTCCTCGGTTGAGTCCGTTTTGTTATTTGATTTTAGAGTTAATAACTCAACCTTTGTGAGATTTTGTGTGGTGTTTGTGTTCTGACTACTCTCTCCTCCTGGAATGCACCGCCTGCCTCGTCCACCATCATTCACCCTTGACCTGGTAACTTCGTTCTACCCTCCTTATCTTTCCTCCATTTAGGACAATGTCGTGCTTAAGTGTGGAGGGATGTTCGATTATGTATGCGGGTAAATGTTTAGCTGTTTGTGTGCTTGGAGCCTAGTCCACTGTCCAAATTTTTAAATTTGAGGGCTCGAAGTACGTGTTTCCTTGCAAATTGCCTGCTCAGTATGCTTTGAATTGACAGTCTTTATGGTGATATGCAACCTAGGGAGGTAGTGTAGCACTATGGAGGATGTTGAAGTATAAGATTTTTCCTATTTAGCTCTCTGCTGTGCCGGTTGATTTTGTGAACTAGTGGATTTAGGACCGTTGATTCATGTGGTAATGGTGACTCTGATTAGATTGTGTTATGGACTCGTGTATCGAACAGGGTGCTCATGTGAAAAATGAAATGCAGTTGGTCCTCCATGTCAAAATCATTAAATCTTAAACATGGGGTAAGCCCAACGTGTGTGGCAGCGTTCATTGCACAAAAATCGGGTTTTGGAAGAGATTTTAGTGATCCTTGGTGGGGTAGGCCTACAAGGTGAAGCTAAGTTGTCTCTAGCACAAGTAAAATTTCCACCCGTTGAACGGTTTGCCTACTTGAGGATGTGTTTTAAGGGCACGGATAGAGCTTCCGACCCCCCTTAATTTCATTGACCCTCCACACGAGTTGAGGAAAAGGAGTTAAAAGAAGTACTCTGGCGAGCGCCAGTTGTACAGAAATTGCTCTTGCTCGACTAATAAGGGTCGACCATGCTAAAGACTGCAGTTGGAACTCCCGCCAAGTGAATGAAACGAAAAAAAAAAGAGTAAAATGAAAGTGAAAGAGGGGTTCCAACGAAAATGAAGTGGAAGAGCACCCTGGTACAACAAGTCTTTGGTTGTGAATGGTGAGAGTCTCCTTATCCATGAATTGACTGTCTTAGTTCCACTTCTTCTCATGATCCTGGCTTGAGTTTAGTACGCGCATTGAGAGAGATATGAGGTGTCTTAGAAGACCAGTTGACCTCGTAAGTTGCTAAATGATCCTGGAAAGTCCTCTGCCGACGATCGGGGGTTGCATGTTGCTATAGAGGTCTAGAGAGTTGCATTGGTTTGAGTCAGGTTTGCTTGGGGACAAGCAAACGGTTAAGTGTGGGGGAGTTTTATTGACCATTGATTACACATGTTTTTACCCCTATTCTTGAGCCGTTTGAGATGTCGATTCTCGCGTTTTTGGCCGATTTCATGCTACGTTGTTCTTATTTGTGATATTTCAGGTCCTAGTACGTGAATGAAGGTTTGGGAACGAGTTCGGGGTCGATTGGACGAAGTTTGGACGTTTGGAGAGAAGATGAGAAGTCACACGGGCATGCCTAAAAGCCACACGACCGTGTAGGGGACCCCTAGTGGCCGTATGGAAATTCCAGGGAACTCACACGGGCACCCTGGGAAGCCACACGGCCGTGTGGGTCGTGGCCGCGTAGGAAGCCTGAAGTCACTTAACGAAACGCCGCGTTTTGCAAAGCCACACGGGCAGCTGGGGGAGTCACACGATCGTGTGGCCTGCCCGTGTGAGTCGGGAATTTATGGTTTTAAGCCAATTTCGAGCCAAAGGAGAGGGAGAGCTGGGTTTTTGGATCCCAAATACCCAAGGGACGAACCCTAGAGAGAGAGAGAGAGCGACTTGGGAACATTCTTGGAGCTATTTTGGAGGATTTCTTCGCCATTGGAGCATCGGGAATCAAGCTTGGAGATGGAGATTGAAGATCTAGATCAGATTTCTGCAGTCTCTCTCTTCTCTATGAAGTAACTTCCCTTCACTTAGGTTTTGAGGAACCCTAGTTCCATATGTTAGGATCTTTCTTGTATGAAGTTTTGGATGCTATATTTTTTTATTATAATCGATTGAGGCATGACTTATTGAGTCAATTGAATTTTGATCAAATTCTCTTGATTTCTGCTTTAACCTATGATAGATATAATCTGATTAGTTTAAGAGAGCTTCCTTGATTGATAGTGGTGAATTGGTTGTGCGAGAGTCAATCAATTCACTGCTTTGTACTGGAATTCATCCCAGTAGTGGAGATTTGTGTGAATCGCCTTAGCAGTCTATCCCGGTGAAGGCTAGTCGCCTGCCGGGTATCCTATCTAAGAGGGCTTGGTCAGCTTAAGAGATTCCAAGCTCATTTAGGATCTTCCGCAGTTTAATCAACAGTAGATCCACCAAAGGTAATTGCAACTTGGACCTAATTGAGGAGCTAGGGGGATCATACCTAAGTGAGTTCCCAACTTGTAATTAGTAGAGTAGTTAGTAGAGTAGTTTAGTAAATCAATCCTTAATCTAGTTTGCTAGATAATGAACTGAAGCTGAGTAATAGTAACTCTAGAGACCCGTGGATTCGATATTTATTACTTGTGCCACTATACTGCAGTCCCTTTCATTGGTTACACTTGGCCATTGTTAGGTGTTGTGTCGTAGCGTGTCAATTCCCAGTTTGCCCGTGTGAGAATGGAAACGCCGCGTTTTGATTAGTGGACTTCAGGCACGCTGCACGGCTAGAAGCACACGGCCGTGTGGATTTCCAGTCTGGCCGTATGAGCTCTTTGGACTTTCCACACGGCCACAAGGGGTCCCCCACACGGCCAGTGTGGCTTGCCCGTGCAAAGTGGTGCCACACGGCCAAGTCACACGGCCGTGTGGAATTTTAGGCGTGCCCGTATGAGTTCCTTAGCTTCTTGCCAAACGTCCAATCGTTGTCCAATCAACCCCAAACTTGTTCCCAAACCTTCATTCACGTACTAGGACCTGAAATATCACAAACAAGAACAACCTAGCGTGAAATAAGCCTAAACCAATGGTTGTGTTGTGCATCCCTCCCCACTTTTGCATCGTCAGCTGGAAGTGTTGAAGCAGGCAGTGGCTCTTCCTCCCTAGCCTGGGCGTGGGCAGCAGTTGTCGTCTTACCACTTCTAGTAAATATTGATCTATACTACTGCTTAGTCATGGAGCTGTTTAGCAGACTGAGTTCTTTGCTTCTTGTTCTCAAACTTGGCAACTTTCTCGAAGGATTGCTCGGTCTTGGAGATGGCCTTTTCCAGGGCTTTCTTCTTGCGAACGTTCTCTGATCTCTTCATCGGCCTTCCCTTCTGCATTCTGCTCCGGACGAACAGCACAACCATTGACAAATGTGAGCTAAATACAGAAAATGCTTTCGATCTGCTTTACTCATTCAGTCTTCGTCGATGCTGATTTCAGGATCGTATCCATACATGACGATGAGCAGCTCATTTTTATTTATTTCTTCTTCCCACAGACGGGCTAAATTCAGGGAAGGAGTAGACCCGCTAAATTGTTGAGCAAATAGCCTTAGCCAAAGGTACATGACAACTGACTGACCTGGACTCATGTACAGAACCCCCTCTGGTCGGCGACGGCGTGACCCTGAACGACGGTGATGGTCGACATCGGGAGGGAGACTAGCTCGGATCTGGAACAACACACATCGAAGCCGTTGGAGAAGAATCGGCCCTGGGATGAGGTGAAGAGGATCGAGCCCCTAGTGGCTTGGGATTTGGCTTGGCGGAGGGATGAGAGGACAGTGGTGATTATGACCGAGCTGAGATGGTGGTCGCCGTTGTTGCCGGACCGAACGATGACGGACTCGTGGTGCCGCCGCTGCAATTGTTGGGAAGAATAGAGAGATCTAGCGTAGCAGATTTGTTAGAGGAAGCGAAGATTGGGGATCATGATTTAATTCGTTGCTTTTTGGATTTTAATTCAACTTTTAATTTTATCAATTTACCCTTATACCCTTGTTGTTATACTAACAACATAAGGACTGTTGTTATGCTATCCGGTCCCATAAAAATCATATAATTTAGTGCGCTCTTAAATTATTGAACTTATAATATCCAATTGAAGATGCGGTTACTATAACATCATTAAAATACACATAATCATGACCAAATATACAAATCCATGGCCAAGACGGGACCTTGATCATAAAAGGGCCAAACTCATTAACCAAAGCGTTTACACGACATTTTTTAACCGAAACAATGAGTGCAAAATAATATTGGTATGTTTTCTATAATGCAGTCATCCATTGTAATGAGTAATGACCATTATTGTTAAAACCCACCCGAAATAGTCAGTCACACTGGTAGAATCGGGACCCTGCCAGTAGGTCAGTTGAATTAGTTATTGAACCATCCATTGAGAACTGGCTGACCGAACAACGAAGTTACGATGTTCATGGTTCAAGGGGCTTATGAGTCATTTGGATGAGGTAAATAGTAATCGTGAAATTTAAAGGAGCACATAGACTGTGTGGAGATGGAGAGTATTCGTGATCAATCGAAAAGTTTTGGACAAAGAATTTTTGTTAACATGATGTGTTGAACTCTTTTGCTAAGAATTTGCAATTCTATAGATCATGAACTTCCTCATTTACGAGTGGGGTGAAACGTTACTATTTAATGGGTAGATAAAAACTCTTTTAAGGCTTTTTTATTTGTTTATTTGCGTATTTGAGATTATGCCTTCAATTTTTATGGAGACTTTCAGAAAAAAATTTATACTATAATCACTGTGAGAGTAACACTGGAAAAAGTTAAGAGAGCGAAGGCTGACATAAATTTCGAGCCAATAGAATTTGGTAATGCAGATTATGTTTAGGAATTGGTCAACAGTAAAATCCAAGTAATTAAAATTTTTCCTGACATATTATTATTGTTAGATTTATACAATCTTAGTCCAAGATAGGATCATAATTACAACATTAATATCCAAATTAAATATTCCTACCAAATACAATCTTATTGCCAGCCTTGGGATCTTTTATTATAAAAGCTCCAAAAAGGACAGTCTTCTTAAACCTACAACTAGTTTTTAGAAAGTATTTACTAGAGAGCTTGATATCGAGTATCAATTAGTCTAATTGACTTCTAGAATGAAGATATCTCTTATAATAACAGTGCTTGCCTTGGTATTGCTTGTTGTGGCGCTTTCATGTTATGCCGACAATGATAAGGGGGACCCTTTCTGGACGTGTTTTAAAGAATGCATGAAGTTTGATTGTAAAGGAACAAAGGAAGATTGTTCTGATCTTTGCTCCGACAGATGCATCTCCGGTGAACCTCCCGCCTCAAATAGATATGCCAAAAGCAACGCAGGAATAGGCCATCAAAACTAATTATAAACTAGTGGCTCTTTTTTTATAATGTGTAATGAAATAATATATAAAAATTTCGGTGTCGTTGCCTCCTTCTTGGTTTCCAGTTCCCCATTCTCAATTTGTTTAATGCTCACCTTTTCCAACTTCTATGTTTTTTTGCGGCCAAACTCGAGAGACTACAAAAAACCTGACTTTTAGCAATGAAAATTTAGGCTAAAAGTAAGGCTTCCGCGATGAATTTTTAATTTTTGTCACTAATTGGTTTTATTTTATTAGATAGAACTTGTGATAGATTTGGCGATGTCATTTTTGGTTTGGCGATGGATATAATCGTCATAGACGACAGCTTAGTCTCCTAAGATGAATCCGAACCACGACGTGTTGGTCTATTAAACATAGTGGGTTTTTTCGACCAAAATTTTTTGTCATGGGTATGGGTTTTAAAAGTTTGTGGGTCAAGGCCTATGCCGACACTTTTTGACTCCTTGTTGAGCAAACATAGCCATTTGGGCTATTCTATTGCGGCAAAATACACATGTGTAGCCAAAACTTAGACGGTTTGGCCAAATATAGCCACTTTTGGAGAAATATAAAAAATAGCCACTTCCGTCCAATTCTTTGACGGTGTGAGTTAACGTGCTGACTGGACTAATGGATTGTCCAATATGGCGATTTTCGTCCCGCGTGTATTACCCATGTGGATTTAAAAAAAACATAATTAATGAGTTTTTCGAGGAGGCGAAGAGCTTTTCTCCGCTGACAAATCCTCCCACCACCAAGCCCACAAAATTCGCCGCCTTCCGTCCTAAATCATCTCTACCTCCGCCACCATCAATTGTCTCTGCCTCCACCATCAATCGTCTCTACAATCGACAGATCTGAGACGACGACTTGTATGCGGGACCAAGGGGAAGAGGTCATGGCGGCTGCAACGGAGGATTGGGATTGAAATTGGGTTGGTGGTGGGTTCTTTCTCCCTTTTCTATTTTCCTCCATCCGAGTTCACCCCTCTGCTCCCGCTCGTTGACAATAATGGATTTGTCTACCAAATTGGGGAAATCACACCGTGACGGCAACCGAATCGTCGGAGAAGAAGGCGCTCGTCTCCCTCCTCGAAACCCGACGTTGGGGTCGAGCAACACTCACCCACCATATCCTCCACCCACGAATCTCACCAATAAACCATCAACATCCACTGCATCAGTGGCTTCCCCTTACTTTGGCATCGTCGGAGTTTCTCCCCTCTTCCACTTCACATTCATTGAGTTGCAAACCCAGATCTGGACGAAAGCACCGAAAAATGTTACAGAGAGATTCCAGGCTAGGTGACTCCTCTCCTAACTCTACTGTCCAAGCTCTTAGCAATAACGAAGCATTAGATTTCATATCTGGGCACAAATTGGCGAACTCTGGCGTAAAGAAGCAAAGGGGGATTTGGGTTTGAAAATGGACGAACTCCCCCTCCAAGACAAGTGATTTGGGTTTGAAAATTAAGTTCAATTATCTGCAATAATTAAATTTTGTTGTATTTTCTCAAAGAGCTCAGTAATGGGAAGAAAAGGATGAGAGGAAGCCATGGTTGAAGTTTGATTAGTGAGGAAGAACACCACGATGAAGGATGAATTAGGCAATAAAAATCCTTAATGTTTTTTATTTTAATTAAAAATGACATGTCAATCCACCTGTCATCGGAGGCTGAGTTGTCGATGATGTGTCTGGTGAGTTGTAAGCACAGTACGCGTACCATTAAAATAATTAACAGCGTCATTGATGGTGTTAAAGTTTGTAACGGAAATGGCTGTATTTGTCATGAAATTTTAAAAATTCTGGCTATTTTTGGTATTTCGCCAAAAGTGCCTATATTTGGCCAAATCGTCAAAGTCTTGGCTACACAAAAGTATGTTGCCTTCTATTGGGGAAACATGTTTCTCCTCAAACACCCATCTTCCTTCATGGAGTTTTCTTTCCCATATAAACTCCATCGCAAGAAAATCCTTTCCGTAGACACTCATCTGAACCTAAGCTAGATCTGGCCTCTCGATGTCGTCTCTACCATCATCAAATCTCAAAGTTGTCGCAACATTGGAAGTCGAATATAAGTTCTGCCGGCTGCTTGATTTGTCGGCCTAAAGTTATCAACGACATTGCTATATTCTTAACCATCTTGGCAACAGTAGAAAAAGATTTAGAGAAGGAACAAACAATCAGATAAGGAGATTGGAGGAATGAATATCATAGAGAACTTATCGGAGTTGATGTAATTTGGGGAAGGGGGTCGGAGCGGTAGATCCAAATAAAAGAGCAGTGGTAAAACTAGGGTCTAGAAAGGTAAATGAGTGGAAGGGGTTTGAGAAAATAAAGAGGTGAATATGATTGTTGGTGGAACTGGAACACTGGACATGGTAGGAATCCTTGACAGTTGGACCAGCCCACAAAATGAATCAATAACTCAGTGGGCTTAAAGAAAAATAAAATTTACACAAAGCCCATTCAAGCATCTTCATATTTAAGAACACGTTAAGAAAGAAAATCGTGCAGCAAAGCGCACAATTAACTTACTACTATTTAATTCTCATAAAAAAACTTACTAGTATTTAATAATTAGTTCGCCCGATTGAACTCCATACGAAAGAACAAGTGGCAGGATTTTATATAAAATGTAATTATGCAACTCGATTTTCCCACGAAGATTTGAATCACTTACTTTAGAAGTTGGTATATCCTACAATGGTACAAGATTCAAAGACCAATGATATTTATCTATCTAGTTTTAATCTATAAACCTTATGACCCACCCGCACCATTCCCTCAAAGGTTGATGAAGCCCCTGGAGGACCCGAACTTCAAAAAATTTGTGAATCTCTTCAAGCAATTGCACATCAACATTCCGCTAGCTGAAGCTCTTGAGCAAATGCCCACATATGCCAAATTTCTTAAGGAATTGTTGACAAAGAAGAGAAAATGGACTGATTTGGAGAAAGTAGAACTCACACCAGAGTGTAGTGCTGTTATCCAAAATAAATTGCCAGAGAAGAGGGAAGATCCAGGGAGCTTCACCATCCCATGTATTGTTGGTGAGACAGATTTTACAAAGTCGCTTTGTGATCTTGGAGCCGGCATAAACCTCATGCAATATTCTGTTTGTAAGAAGCTGGGACTCCAAGATGTGATCAAGCCGACTCGAATTACTCTACAGCTGGCTGATCGATCAGTAAAGGTCCCCAAAGGCGTGGTGGAGAACGTGCTAGTGAAGGTGGGAAAATTCATCTTCCCCGCCGACTTCGTCATTCTGGAGATGGAGGAGGACAGGGAAGTACCTCTCTTTCTTGGGAGACCCTTCCTAGCTACGGGGGGTGCTCTCATAGATGTCCAAAAGGGCGAGCTGACATTCAGAGTCTGTGGGGAAGAGGTAAAATTCAATGTATACCATGCAAGTAAGTACCCTAATGACTCTAGTGATGTGTTTGCAGTGGATGTCATAGAATCATGCACTGATGCTATTTTGAACAATGATTATAATGTTGATTCTGAGTTTGATGATTCTGATAATGAACTTGATGAGCTAACCGTGTCAAAGAGGGCACAAATGCTCGAAGCATTGCCTATGCATATATGGGGGAAAACTCCACTTTACCTGTGATTGTTTCTGCCATACTGACTGATTCGCAGGAACAGGAGCTCTTGAAGGTCTTACGTCAGCACATACAAGCTTTAGGTTGGACTATTGCCGACATCAAAGGCATTAGTCCAGCAGTTTGTATGCATAAGATCCTTCTAGAGGAGGAGTCCAAGCCCTCCGTCCAGGCACAACGGAGACTAAACCCGCACATGAAAGAAGTAGTGCATAAGGAGGTAATGAAGCTATTGGATGCAGGTATTATTTACCCTATCTCTGATAGTACTTGGGTTAGTCCCGTGCATGTGGTCCCTAAAAAGGGAGGAATGGCAGTAGTGAGAAACGATAAGGATGACCAAGCCTTCTCAAAGATCACCAAGCCTTTATGTGATTTGTTGGCCAAAGATACTGTGTTTAACTTCTCTGATGAGTGTTTGTAGGCCTTCAATCGACTTAAGAAGGAGTTAACTTCTGCTCCCATTATCACTGCACCCGACTGGACTCTGCCATTTGAAATTATGTGCGATGCTAGCGACTATGCAGTCGGGGCAGTTTTGGGGCAGAGGAAGGAAGGTAAGTTGCATGCGGTGTACTATGCAAGTAAGCTTCTTAATGATGCACAATTGAACTATTCCACTACTGAAAAAGAACTGCTTGCTGTGGTGTTTGCTTTTGATAAATTTCGATCTTATTTGATGGGATCGAAAACAATTGTGTACACTGACCATGCAGCTATAAGGCACCTTCTTTCAAAGAAGGAGGCCAAGCCGAGATTGCTTCGTTGGGTTCTTCTTTTGCAGGAATTCGACGTTGAAATTCGGGACAAGAAAGGTTCGGCTAATCTGGTAGCCGGTCACCTTTCTAGACTTGAGCTTGAGGCCATTCCTAAGGACAAGGTTGAGATCAATGAGTCTTTTCCAGACGAGCAGCTATATGCTCTCCTTGTCCAACAAGCTCCCTGGTATGCAGATCTTGCAAACTATCTCGCCACAGGTAAGCTCCCTGATTTGTCTTATCAACAGCGCAAGAAGTTGATTACTATTGCCAAGAATTATATATGGGAAGACCCCTTCCTGTATAAGCATTGTGCTGATACCATGGTAAGACGATGTATCCCTGAGTGCGAGGTAAAGTCAGTACTAAATTTTTGTCATAGTATGGCCGCAGGAGGCCACTTTGGACCTCATAGGACAGCAGCAAAGGTGTTACAATCTGGATTTTATTGGCCTTCTCTATTTCGAGATGCCCGTGATTTTGTTGCTCAATGTGATAGGTGCCAAAGAACAGGGAACATATCTGCAAGGATGGAGATGCCGCAGACCTCGATTTTGGAGGTAGAAATGTTTGATGTATGGGGAGTGGATTTCATGGGGCCATTCCCACCGTCTTTCAACAACAAATATATCTTAGTCGCAGTCGACTATGAATCCAAGTGGGTGGAGGCAGTGGCGTTGCCCACCAATGACTCAAAGACGGTGGTGAATTTCATGAGGAAGAACGTGTTCACCAGATTTGGAGTCCCTCGAGTTCTTATCAGTGACGAGGGCACACACTTCATGGGAAAGGAGTTGAACACGTTGCTGGCCAGATATGGGGTTAAGCATCAAGTTGCTACACCCTATCATCCACAAACCAGCGGGCAAGTGGAAGTTTCCAACATAGAACTGAAACACATTCTGGAGACGACGGTAAATTCAACAAGGAAAGATTGGGCAAGGAAGTTAGATAAGGCGTATTGGGCTATCAAGAAACTTAACTTTGATCTAAAAACTGCTGGAGAGAAGCGCCTGTTGCAACTGAATGAGCTCGACGAGATTAGGCTTAATTCCTATGAAAATGCCCGGATTTATAAGGAGAAAACCAAGAAGTGGCACGACCACCACATACTGAGAAGAGAGTTCAAGGTGGGAGAGAAGGTATTACTTTTCAACTCACGCCTTAAACTTTTCCCTGGAAAGTTAAAGTCAAGGTGGTCCGGACCATTTACGGTGACCAAGGTGTACCCACATGGTGCAATCGAGATTCTTGGTGATCAAGGGGCATTTAAGGTGAATGGTCAGAGGCTCAAGCACTATATTGAAGGGGTTTCCGTCCTGGAAATCTCAACATATCATCTGGAATGAGCTATTTTACGTCAAGCTAGCGACGCAAAACAAGCGCTTCTTGGGAGGCAACCCAAGGTGAGTTTTTCTTTCAATTTTTTTCATTTTTTTGTTTTAGGGTGTGTCTAGAGGCTCTCCGCCAAATTTCAGCTCCAAAAGCCTTGAGGAAGGTATTATTTTGTGCTTTGTAGGTACACGGGCAGGCTGTTTTTTGCACAGGGAGACTGCAAAATTAGCACAGGCAAACCGCAAATGTGGGGGAAGGACTAATCTAAAAGTTGGGGGGGGGGGGGGGGACTGATCTGGCATTTTTTTGAGGAGGAAGGGGGGACTGAAAGGGAGAAATTCCGTTTATGTAAAAAAAAATTCCCGAAAACACTGCGTTTCATTAAAAAAAACAGCGCAGCGTTTCGGAAAAGGAATTAAAAAAAACCCTGAAACAAAAAAAAGGTCGGGATGTACGCCCTTCCCCTTCGACCCCTTCTTCCTTCGACTCAGCAGCAGCAGAGATCGCTCCGGCGCCGTCGTCGACTCCCGCCAGACCGCGCCGGAGCAGCCTCGCCCCACCCGCCTCAGGTCGACGTAAGCAGCCCACCGCACCGGTCGCCATC